TTTTTGAGTGCTCTACATCTCCTTGAGTGTTTATCACAGTACAGAGACATAAGCAGCAATTTTATATTGCTTTTTGAGTGCTCTACATCTCCCTGAGTGTTTATCACAGTACAGAGAAATAAGCAGCAATTTTATATTGCTTTTATAAATATTTTTGAGCATGTCTCAGTTTGCATTTATTAAGTCATCATTGTATTCTTTCGCAGGGTCTTTTTCAACAGCTTCATGTACCAATTGTAAATATCAAGTATCTTCAAGTGCRATCAAAGAAGATATATTTAGTCAAGTGAGTAGTAAAATAGGAATGGTGAAGGAGGTTTATTGTAGTTAGAGGGGTGGATCCAGGATTTTCTTCAGGGAGGGTTGTACCCCTTAGAATCAAAGGGAAAAACATTATTTTGTATTGGTTATCTTCAAAGTAGGGGCTCAACGTCGAACCAGTGAGGGGTGCACCYCTTAGAATCAAAGGGAAAACATTATTTTTATTGGTTACATTTGAAGTAGGGGTACAAAGTCCAAGCAAGGAGGAGTGCGCACCCTCTGCACCCCTCCCCTAGATCTGCCTGAGTTGTGTTTTCCAAATAATGTAATAACAGGAATGGTAAAGGGGTTTTTGCATGAAACAATATCAAGGGTTTTCATTTTCTGTGATGTGTGACCTCAAACAATTCAAAATCACTCCCAAAATAATGATTGATTGCGTTTTGAATTTTGGTTCACTCACATGACCAATTGGAGAGCTTTAAATAGTCACATGGAGGTCATGCGGCATTTAAATTTTGAAGAAATAGAAAACACTCAAAGCTTGCTGTGTGCAGTCATAAAGAACGAGGGGACTGGCAGAACATGAGAGAAGTTTTAGGATAAGTATGACACTTAGCGGACTTCTCGACACTTCTCAAGTGTTCTGCCAATCCCCAAGTGTTTTATAACTTCACACAGCACAGCAAGAAAGTTTTTTATTTCTTTCATAAAATACAAATTACAATAAAATTACAATAATATTTCAAATAACTGTAATAAAATAAAATAAATCTTGAGGGAGATGTTAGACTGCACTAAAGATTTTCGTCCTTTAATCCTCAAAAATCTTTTCAAACAACTTTTCTTTTAGAAAATTCCAACTTGTCCAAAATGTAAGGAAGAAGAAGATGGGGCTTTTGCTATCATGAAGCCTGGTATCCTTTGTTTAGCTAAYATCATCATTATCATTATTGCCGTCACCCCTTAGGAAGCGCCGTAAGCACTCAAGGAGTTTGAGAAGCGCTGGCCTATGGCTCCTGCTTCTCCTTACACTTCTTTCATGTTTACATCACTTCCTGCATGCTTTATTACTGAACGGAGCACAGAAAAAGCTGTTTTATTTGTTAATTATTTTTTATCATTATAACTACTACCATCATCATCATCAACATCATCTTTACCATTATAATCTATTACCAATATCATCATCAGATCATTGATGTCCATTTTGTTAGTGTCATCATGCAAACAGCGTATTTTAAAATGACTAGTAAATTGAATGCCAGTTTTTAGTCTTAACTACAGTATCTGTAGATATTGTCTTCTTTGGTGAGAATCTTCCTTCTGATTTCTACCATCACTTAGAAGAAGATTCAGAAAAGGTATTAAACATGTGAAATAGCTTTGTGTATTTAACAAATTTCATATGAATGGGAAGCCTGTGTTGCTATAATTATACTTCAATCACATTTTGCAATCAGCCAATCAGGATGCATGAAATTACAAACCATCCAATCACAATGCTTGTCTTGATTGTAAGCCATTTGTCTGCTATAACATTTTCTACTCTGTATTTGTCTTTTAGGCTGATCTTTTGATTGTTATTGGATCATCGTTAAAAGTGAGACCAGTTGCTTTGATACCAAGTAAGTAGTACTTYACATGAACTGTTCATACCATTGCCACATCTTGTCCTTTCAATTTGAATATAGGTAACGTTGGTGGACTAGATCAGCCCAGAGGTTGTTTCAGGGTTCRATCTGTGAGTTAGTCATGCCCTGACTTAGATCAGCCCAGAGGTTGTTTCAGGGTTCAATCTGTGAGTTAGCCATGCCCTGACTAAGATCAGCCCAGAGGTTGTTTCAGGGTTCAATCTGTGAGTTAGACATGCCCTGACTTAGATCAGCCCAGAGGTTGTTGCAGGGTTCTATCTGTGAGTTAGCCATGCTCTGACTTAGATCAGTCCAGAGGTTGTTTCAGGGTTCAATCTGTGAGTTAGCCATGCTCTGACCTAGATAAGCCCAGAGGTTGTTGTATTTTTGTCAGTTTTAAGATGCATGTCATGATATTTTTAGGTCGCATTGCTGAAGATATCCCTCAAATTCTAATTAACCGAGAACCTCTACGTCACATGACATTTGATGTCGAGTTGCTAGGCGACTGCGATGTGATTGTGACGGAGCTGTGTAAAACGTTAGGTGGGGAATGGACGTCTATTCTTGACGAAACAGAAGTTCCCACTGTGGACAGAGATCTCTATACAACACTAGTTGAGGATACGAGTAATGACCAACACTTACTAAATTCTGACAGGGAGGGAAGTGCCTCCTTAGAACTACATGTGAGTATTCATCGGCAATCCCTGGTTCATACAAGCAATGAAAATGCAAACGTAATGCAGACATAATGCAGACGCAATCACAACTTAATACCAACTCAATGCAAACTCAATGCAAACTCAACGTACGCGCAGTGCAAACGCAATGAACAAGCAATGAACACGCAATGAACACAAAAGTGCAATGTACACGCAATGAAAGCGCAGTGCAAGGGCAACGCAAGCGCAATGCAAGTTCAATGCAAGCACAATAAAAACGCAAATGCAAACGCAATAACATCGCTTTATATCTATATTCAAGTCTAATATCGTACTAATAACACAAATTGACTCATAGACCATGAAGATGAGCAGGTCTAATCGTTAGATTGGTTTATTGTAGAAACAAAATCCACTTCAAGACCAGACATCATGTGGTCCTTTAAGTGTGCCCATGCTAGATCACCTGAGTCAAACACCAACACACATACCTAACCTTCCTCATAAACTCCAACAAGAAGATACACTACCCCATAGAGAAGATACGACAATTCCTGGTTTATTGACTGGTTCTGATACTCTACCACAAGCGCAACTTCAAATTGGTCTAGATCAAGATAAAGCACTGGCCACCAGTCACCTCTTTACTGATTCATTAGGGGCAGAAAGAGAGTCTTTTCAACCTCTGCCTGATGGTCATAGTGTGATGGGTCAASCACCTCCAGACCTTGGTCCTAAGACTAGCCCTTTTAGAGCAGCGATGTCAATGCAAGAACCAAAACTGCCTCTTAGTAGTTGTCAGTCTGTCGGCGAGGATACAGGTGGAATGGCATCAAGCTTCAGTGATATTACTGATAAACAGAGAGTTGATTCCTCAGTATTGGGTGATCTCTTAACGGTGTGTCAATATCCTAGTAACCAACACCCTGTAAGCACTGACAAAGGTAACTAATGAGATTATTTACATAATGTTAACATGTGTTTTACAAGAGGAATTGAGGTACCGAGACACCTGTGCATAGGTACCAAGTTGTAACTGTGCATCAAGGCACCCAGTTGCAACTGCATAGGAAGACACCTAGTTGCAACTGCACRGGCAGACACCCAGTTGTAACAGTGCATAAAGGCACCCAGTTGTAACTGTGCATCAAGGCACCCAGTTGTAACTGCATAGGAAGACACCCAGTTGCAACTGCACAGGCAGACACCCAGTTGCAACTGCACAGGCAGACACCCAGTTGTAACTGTGCATCAAGGCACCCAGTTGTAACTGTATAGGAAGACACCCAATTGCTACTGCATAGATGGACACCCAGTTGTAACTGTATAGGAAGACACCCAGTTGCAACTGCACAGGCAGACACCCAGTCGTAACAGTGCATCAAGGCACCCAGTTGTTACTACATAGGAAGAYACCCAGTTGCAACTGCACTTGCAGACACCCAGTTGTAACTGCATCAAGACACCCAGTTGTAACTTCATAGAAAGACACCCAGTTACAACTGCACAGGCAGACACCTAGTTAAAACTGCATCGAGGCACCCAGTTGTAATTGCATAGGAAGACACCCAGTTACAACTGCACAGGCAGACACCTAGTTAAAACTGCATTGAAGCACCCAGTCGTAACTGCATAGGAAGACACCCAGTTAAAACTGCACAGACAGGCACCCTGTTGTTTTTATGTGCATCGAGGCACCCAGTTGTAAGTGCATAGGAAGACACCCAGTTGCAACTGCAGACAGGCACCCAGTTGTAATTCTGCATCGAGGCACCCAGTTGTAACTACATAGGAAGACACCCAGTTGCAACTGCACAGGCAGACACCCGGTTGCAGCTGCACAGGCCGACACCCACTCTCAATTGCACAGACAGGTACCCAGTTGTAACTGTGTATCGAGGCACCCAGTTGCAACTGAATAGGAAGACGCCCAGTTGTACATACGGCTTTTTTCACAATTTGAATTTTTGTCTTTTCAGATTCCAAAACATTCCTTTATTTCCCCCCAAATCGATATATTTTTTATGGTGCAGAATTAAGTAACTCCCCATTTCATTCACCATTTGACTCACCCACCCATGACGAAGATGTTGACAGCGAAAACTACAATTCTGACCACGATAGTCAAGAGCTGTCTTTACTTGAAGCTAATGGATACAGCAGTGAGGACGCAAGTGGTGACGGCAGTGAAGGGTATGGCTCGGGAGCTATGTCCGCTACTGATCTATCTAATTATGATTTAAAGTTAATAACGGGTGCTTTGGGAGATTATAGTTGCGTTAGTGAAGAAAATAGTGTAATGTCAGGGGTAGAGTCGTTTAGTGATGAGAACAGAGATGGCCGATTAGATAGCTTAGCCTATGTCCTTCCATCAGAAAATGCTGTACGCCAGACAGATACCACCAGTATTGGGCCGTCAGTTGACAGTTGTAAAGATAATAATACGAATATAGTTGGCCTAAATGCCAGCAGTCTTAGCACAAGTAATTTCGATCCAACGACAAGTACGGAATCCAACAACCATACATCCTAGCATCAGTCTTCAACATTTGTAAATTCATTTAATAGTTACTGCTGTAATTAGTTTTTTATTCAAGTTGCGGAAATGGAAAACTGCATYTTTAGATTTAGTACTTCATTCGATTTTTTTTTCTGTTTTTTTTTTTTAAGTACTGTATTTACTACTATCATCATGCCATACAGTCATTCATATTGAAATGACGTGGCACTGTGACAAAAAAATTCAAATTCAGTCAGAATTGCCTTTCTTCGGTCCAAATGAATTTAAATTGCATATAATTCTATTCAACAATTATCTCTGCAGTCAGAATATTCTCAGTGCGAGTCATCAAACTWCGACTTATAGCGAATTTTTCTTTCTTATTCGAAATTTGTATTTGCATTCGTATTTCATGACAATAGTGAGACAATAACCCACTTCCGAGATTCGCTTTGCTTGTCACGCACAAAGGTTTCAGTACGAGGATACGTGCTAAATTAAATTAATTCTTACCGCCTGTCACGAATCACTGAGCATTATGGTGATTAGTCGAACAAATGAAAGTGTGCAAGGGATTCTGGTAGCTGTAGTAAATGATGCCTATTCAAATGTCCTATTAAAGAGGAATATTTCAGAAATTATCCACATGTAAAAATTTTAAATTCAAATTCAAAATTATCCTTATTTGCTTTTAATTTCAACATGAATTTGCTTGGTTATTATCTGGGATGAGACAGGAGAAGCAAGAGAAATCACATTCATTTTTCTKTCTTTTTCCTCTATCCAAGATAAGTTTGAAAACGTTTTATGGTCTGATACAGGAAAACATGCCCAAACTAAAGAAGTCTATCAGCAAAATAACACTGTCGTCTTTGATTACAGATTCGTGCATAAAGATTCATTTAGGTCTAATTTCAAAGTCAAAATATTCACAAATATCAATAGATACAGGAATATCCAATAGAGCTGGTACATGTTACGTCATTGCCGCCATCTTSGTTGACGATAACAAAGCATTCCTCATMAGCTTCTCTTRTTAGATCAACCAAGATGGCGGCTGTTTCATYGTTATTCATATCTCAAGGGATTTTGACTCACATGGTTGCACACACACTATTTCAATATTGCATCGGCTCAGATAGTGATGTAAAATGTYCGTCATATCATTTATTCATTCAAAAACGTCGGAGATCTGAAACTAAGCGGAATTTTTCATGCTTTTACGTTTCCTGACTAAAATACGAAAAATCACATTCCTAACTCAAAGGTCATGCGTCATATTCCAATGTAAATGCAAACTATGTTGCTCGGCTGTGAATATACTACATTTTGCAGCATGTTACTCGGTCTCTGAATTCTTCGTTTGCACGTTACGTCATCGCGGCCATGTTCGTGCCATTTAACAAAAGATTTCTCCTTAGCATCCATTGCTAACGGTACCACAATGGCCGCCATGTTTTTGTCTTTTAACTCTTTTGGGAATGCTTGCAACCCATCAAGTCAGTTTTTCAGATATCCAACCTACAACGTTTTTTGAAATAGGTGTATATTCTTCGTTTGTATATGACGTCATAGCAGCCATCTTGGATGAATCTAACAAAAAGAATTGTTAATGAATTCTTTTTGTTATATCAAACAACATGGCCGCCGTGTCTTRTTATTTCACTCCCTTRGGAAAGATTGAAAACTAGCGATACAGATGGCCATAAGTTTATCAATGCTTAGCTGAGTCAACTCACATTTAWTATCAGTATATTTATCATTATCATAAGTAACGCGTTAGTATTCCATGAATCTTTGTAGAAATACATAACTATTCTATGCGAAAATGAGTTTTGAAATTCGTTGAACAGAGACAGAGAAAGTTTTAGAATCCTGTGATCAAGACTGGTAGCCGCCTCATCTTTGCTTTGTGGTTTCTTGCGGCGGGTTACCTGTGCTAGCCAATAGACCAAGCGTTCCTTCGTTGTCCACTATAACACAGGAGCCCCAACCACCATTGCAAAAGATGAGATATCTTTGAGAAAACCTTTTATTGCGTCTTACTAAATTCCCCAAAAGAGCTTGTATTTTATAAAATATAATCAAGGTTCTGTACAATTTTGTAATTTGCGCAATATAGAGTTAGAATATTTGCAGTAGAACATTGATATATTATTATCCATTCAAGGGTTAATTTCAAAATTCCTGTGAAACATACACAGTTATAATACTTATTTATAGACCTCACAAATATTGTCGTGGTAAATGATTTAGTATTCGTAGTTTTATTATTAGCAGTCGCAAGGGTTCAGGAGAATGTAAGGAGTGTATTTCAAAAAATATCTACTTACCTTCCCCACCCACCCCATTAATTCCCCATAATGGAGTAAGACTGAAATTTCCAAGGGCTGGAAGAGCCTAAGAATGACATTCTTTAAGTGGAGGCAAGGATGTTCTCCACCCCTCCCTAGTAGGGAGTTAATAATAATTTTATTATTATTATTAGTCCTTTATACTGTAGAGATTTAGAAAATGCAGAAAATGCTTTAAAATTCTCTAGTTATTTTTTTCTCTTCCTTTAGTTCAATTTCATTTAGTTACAACTGTTATATTGGTTGTTTCACAGGGTTTTTGAAATGACTTAAATTCTTAGTCAGATGTTACAATAGACCTCCTCGGCTCTGACGTAATTTTTCCCATTTCAGACCACGTGTCATTCCCTTGAGAAAAATATTCATTGTTTGACTTGTATCCATATTCATTTGTCTTCTCATGTGTAACCGAGCGCAAACCTTAAACAAAAAAATGAAACTCTAGGGAATGACGTGGTCTGAAATGGGAAAACGTCGGAGCCGATGAGGTCTATTAAGAGACGATTAATGTTTTCTTTCTAGGGGGGGGGATTTGTGAAAGGACAACGTTTCCTATTTAGCCAGATATCAAATGCCAATATCATAGTATTATACAAAATAATATACATATATATACACATAGTTGACACAAGTATTATATGAATGTAATCCTTGCTGTGCTATGCCAAAAAATATGCTTTCATTTACCAAGCTGTGCTGAAATGATTCAAGTGTATAACCATTTACCAATTATAGTTACTGGACGTGAATTTCCAGGAAAAAACTGTTTCTTACTGGAATTGGTATAACTTTCCCATTTTTTAAGAAGGAATCCCGGTATTTACGGTAAATTGGAAATGATACTAATCATAGTAACTGGAAATAATTTTCCAGGCAAAAACGGGTTCTTACTGGAATTGATATCACTTTCCCAAATTATCAAAGAAATCACAGRATCTGTGATAACATCAATAAGGCAAAACCCGTGGCTTTCCAGAAAATATTTCATCCTTACTGGAATGGGCATCACTTCCTGGAATTGGTATCCCTTTTTTACCTTACTGGAATTGGTATCATTTTTCCAATTTATCAAAGAAATGCTATAGTGTCTGTGATATATGTGCATTCTTGCTAGACCGTCAAGCCATACTTTTACTGCAATCAGCAAATTAAAGATTCTATTTAAAATATTAAATATCCTTGGCCGGTAAGCGGCTGAGAAGCTTCCCATGTAAATATACATTTGTAAAGCTTGTGTTATTTTACCTGAATATAAAGTTTTCCTTGCTCTGCCTTCAAAGGCTCCTTAGATTTTCTTGTGGTTAGATTTTTTATTAGTACTTGAAATTCTTGAAGTTCACTAAACTTCAATGGTTGAAGATCCAGTAATAATAATAATTTTATTTTAGCTGCTTTTTGAAGATCCAGTAATAATAATAATTTTATTTTAGCTGCTTTTTAAAAAAACGTTGAAAGGGCCAACGGCAAATGGTCAGTGTCGATTGCACGACCGAAAGGCACASTGGGCATGCATATAAATCAAGAATATTCAAGTCGTTTTAAATGGTTTCGTCTACAAATGACACTAAATAGGGACCTTAAGCTGCAGGACGGCAACTGGGGCGACTACGTCGGCGAAATTGAGGCGCTTCAACCTTCTATTGTATTATTATTTCGTGTTTACCTAGTATTTTACTCAATAAGCATCCCCGTTTTAGAGTGAAATGACGTCTTTTGGGAAAGCTTTTCTTATAACGAAAATCAGCAAAGATAAGCTTTTGGCGTAGCCGTTTTCTTTAGTACGTAAAARTAGGACATTTCASGTCTTACTTTCAGCATAAGACGGCAATGATGCATAGTATTTCGTACATTCCAACGAGTATCTATTGAATAGCGTAATTAGTGCTATTGTATAGTTGCCGTCGTCGTCGTCGTTGCCGTCCTGCAGCTTAAGGTCCCTAATATCTCAACAAGAACATCTGTGTTATTGACAAGAATAACGATAAGAAAYATGAATCATTCCAGCCATTCCTTTGTCTTGGACTGACCTATAGCTATCGATCTCCTATCACTTATCGCCGTTCGCCCTAGCCTGCAGAGCAGGATTTGGGGAAAAAACCGTGGTGTCGGGGGAACTTTGGAAAATTGGAACGAGCGAGAATTGAAACCGAGCAAAAAGTCCCCTTTTTTTTGCTAGGGCCCATTTTTCTCGCGGGCCCTTGGTCGAAACAGGAACCCCAAAACCCCGATTCTTCCTCTCAAACCCATCAAAACAACGCCGGCTCTGCAGGCTACGTTCGCCCCTTTTTAGTTTTGAATTTTTAAGCAGCTTTATACAACGAATCGAAAAATGGCGACAATAATTCGAATAATTTTTGTCCTGGACTGTTTCGTCTCTCTTACACGTAAAGACRCGCTTTTGTGTTTACACGTGAGTACGAGGCTATTCAATCTAAAACAATAGCTATTCAATTCAAATTGGTCGCCATTTTTCGATTCAGTGATTATTTTATTCTAAGGCTAAAAATATAGGGAGTATAATATTAGAAGCAAGAACGTTGCCTCGCCGTTATTTGGCCTCTTGAAGTTACAAACGAGTACAGTTCCATACAAGGCTTTCAAACTACTAGACTACTTTGCAGGCGTCCTTTTGGGGCCGTCCTAAAAATTCCCCTAAGGACGTCTGCAAAGGAGACTATAACACTTTTGAACTGGATTTACTCATAAAAAAAGTGAAGAATCGCGAAAAAAAACCCCAGATCTGGATAAATTTTTAATAGTGGACGTTGTTGTTCCAGTCAGTGTCTATACTTTGTAACGAATCGTTAAAGTTTTTTTCTGGGTTTTCCTGTGTCAGCCCAATCTAAAAATGCGTCGCCTGTCTCCGTATTTTCCAACGTCAGAAAATGCCAAAATTGCGCAGTAGTACCCAGGGGTCTTCACGACAATTACCCAAGAGTCCTTTGCGGACATGATACAGAGATCCCGTTTGAAGTCTGATTTATATTCAAGTGACAGTTGCCAATCAATGTCTAATTTATCAAAGTGATTGATTGTGGGTGGGGCTGCGAATCACGTGTCGGAAATCAATGTCTACGTATATTCTTTCTTTCGTTAGTTGCTTAAATTCAAGGCTCAGTGCAGGATTAGGAATTACTCGGGTGTATAAACTGACCAARTTCAAGATGGCATGAAAAGATCTTTCTTTTATGTGTCTACTCAAATTTTTATTTTAGCTTCTAAAAGCAGCATTCTGATCTATACAGAAAGAGTTTAAGATTAATAGCTCGAGCTTAAACTAGGAAAATAAGGCTTCAAGTCTTCATTTTAAGAAAGAAATCCATGTTTAATTTAAAAAGTTCGCGACCTTCAATTCCTCTTGCCAGATTTTCACTTGAGATTTAGAAATGCTACTCGAAAATTGAAAAGTTTCACTATTCTAAATTCTATTATTTCAAATATCAAAAAACAAATGAACAAAAAAAACAAAAAACAAAAACAAAAAAAAAAAAAAA